AAATAATTTGTTGATATTGGCGATCTGATGGATCTACAAGTATTTGCCTATACATAGCCTTTATATCAGCATTTAAAACCACTGAATTAAGCCGAAATCTCAAAATAATCGAAAATAAGTCATCTTGAACTGTTGGCCCTAAACATAATAAATCATTGAGTGAAACTTGTGTACTCGATTTAAATGAAGCATCATAAACTACTCTACACTTGGTAGTTAGGCTAGATTCGCGTAAGACTGGATGGTGAGGAATAAAATAAGAGGAATTTTTTATTGATGTGTCGTCGACAAATTTACATTTTAGAGTCATGTGATTGAGCAATTCGTACTCTTTCATAAAGTCAACATATTGAATATTTAATTTTTCGTCACGTTGCAACCTAGATTCAATACTCAAAAAACGTTTTAAACATAAGTCCTTAGACTGTCCTAATTCCTTTTCATAGTCTTGACAAAATGGCAGTTTCACGACAAATCGACCTTCGCTATTTCTAGAAGTAGTTCTCTTAAAAAAATCTTCACAATATTCCTCTTCCTTTGACAAAATATGTTTTTGAGGTAATTCTTCTAGCAACCAAAATCTAGTTAATGTGTCATTTAAAGTATCTAACTGATTGCTTCGAACCAAATTACAAATTTCTTTCTGACCTTTTTTGTTTTTCCTGCCCAAAGGAATGCTTCCTGTTAAAATGTATCCAAAAACTGTGTTTTGCATTACCGGATAATTCTTTCCCAAGTATATTTTCTCAGTTTTCAAAATTTCGTAAAAAATACTAGCCCCTATAAGCAAATCTATTTCTTTGGGATAATTAAACTTATCATCTGCTAACTGTATATTTTTTGGATAGTTTAAACTTTCCTTTGAAAATTCAAATAGAGGTAGTCTTTCCGTAATCACCGGCAAAATAGAACATTGTAAATTGGCAGAAAATTCTGTAAATCTTGACTTTATTTCAACGTCTACTCTGTAATTCACATTAGTACTGCATTGATTTATCCCACATAACGGCACCTTATAATCTTGTAATCTTAGCTTTAATTTTTTGCATAATTTTTCTGTTAATATATTTGACTGACTCGCGCTGTCTAAAAGTGCTGTACATTCATGCATTTTTCCTTCTAGATCTGCGATCAAAACCGTCGCTGTAGATAAAAGTACTTGATTTCCATCCATATTTGCACCCGAGACTCCATAACAACTATTGCCAACAAAGTTTTTATCCTGAAAATGTTGTTCATTGTTTACCAAGGAATATTCATCATTTTTATGAGTACTCTGGTCGGGCACGAACATCGTAGGAGCGTTTAAACTTTGATTTGTCGGATAGCTCAAATCTGTTGAATTTGGCGCGCTTATTTCAGTGACGCAGTGAGTTGCGCTGATATTATTTGTGGTTTGCTGACCTTGATTCCATGCAGTATTATCATTTTTACCATAATTTACGTGGAAGGGCTGATTTTTTCCTTTAAATTTATCTTCGTGCAAGAGAGTGCTATGTCTTGAATTACATTTTCTACAATTGCTCGAATTACATTGAAATTTGAAATGTCCTGGGCGTAAACAGTTCGTGCCTAATTTATGTTTCCTCAATTCTTCATATCTTTGACTAATGGACATTTCTAAAAATTTAGAACATTGATAAATAAAATGATTTCCATTACATATTTCACAAACTATGTTATCTGAACTTGCGAAACATTGTAAATTAGGAAGTTGTGGTGAGTGTTGTGACATGTTTTTTTGAATTTTGTTATAAGTGTAACTTGGGTTTGAAGTTTGACCAGTGTGTGAAATTAATTGATTTTTGGTTACATTGATATCTGTATACAGAGTTTCTAGAGTAAAACATTTTCTATTTAAAAATTTTAAAAATTCTTCGAAAGATGGAAAATTATCATCATCGAGTTTACTTTCCCATTCTCGCCTTGTTCTGTCATCTAATTTTTTTATAATTAACGGTATCAATAAAGCATCCCATTGTTTGACAGGCATATTCAATTTTTCCAATGCATTGACCTGTTGAGTAACCACATCTACTAAATTTCTAAGAGCCTTTGCATTTTCTCGCGTTAAATCGGGTAATTTGAATAAAAGCGTGTTTATATGTTGATTAACGATTACTCTTTTGTGCTCGTATCTTTCTCTCAACAATTTTATAGCTACTTCATAATTTTCATCTGTGGATTGCAAATTGTCAATAATTTTCGCCGCATCCTCTTTACAAATGGTTTTCAGATACAATAATTTTAAAGAATCGGGAAAATCCGTTCGATTATGTATCATGGCTTTATAAACATCCCAAAAACTAAACCATGACTCATAATGTCCGTAAAAACTAGGTAGCCCTAGTTGAACTATATTGGGTGTGAAAGATGCAGGTTGCGTTATTGATACCTGGTGCATTTGTGTCCTTGTTTGTTGAGCTGTTGGCTCATATTCTTTTTTCGATATTTTTTCAGCTTCAGACATCACCTGAAAAAACTCATCTTCGCGTTCCTCGCGCTCGTATACCTTGGATCTATCTAAAAACTCTAATCGCGTTTGGTATTCATCAAATTTTACCTGATCTTCTCTCGTGCTTTTCAACCTTAACTTTATCTGCTCGAATTTATCGATATTGCTTGGGTTTGCTAAATAATTACTAAAACGGCCTAACTTTGATAACAAAACATTGATTTTATGCTCTAAATCAACAATTTCTTCTTTTTTAGCTTTGGACTCGGCTTTGGACCCCATATTTTATTACTTTATCCTCAAGTACCTACGTATTTGCGCAAAATTTTAACTACAAAATTTATGGAGCTACTTACTCAACACAGATCCAGATCTATAATTTCAATCTACAAACCAAAAGCAAATAATTAGGAAAGATCTCACCCGTATTACAAAAAAAAAAAAACTTATATCAATGCGCTTCCAGCAGTGCGTGAAATGACAACCAATGTCCTATATTGTACTGTAGACCAACTTCCGTGGATAACTTCTCGTGAAAATGACTTTCGGGAACCTTTCGTAGGCACAAATTCGTGAAAAACTTGATGTAATTCTTTCTTCGCTGTTCCAATCCTGGCCGAAGTGACCAATGTTTCGTATCGTCGAGCTATTAATCGGGAACTTGCTACTCTGTATCTTCGAAGGACCACCCAACCCGCAGGAAAGGAAATAAATGTAAATTTTTACTTTCAACTTTGGTTTTTTCTTACTTTTTTTTATTAAAAAGACAAGACATGTGTCATAAAAATTATTATCAGTCAACTCTTTTACAACGGGTAACTCTCACGCTTTTCAGGGCTACGTTGATTAAAAAATTAAATACATAAGCGAAAAGCTATGTTGATTAAATGTAATCATACAGTACTTCAAATGAGCTTATTTGTTATGTGCTCTATTATAAGTAAACCCATGGCAATTTGGTGAAAAAATATTATTTTTTTTGTTAAATAATGGTGTTTTAGTAAAAAAAGTCATTTTATAGGGGGGAAGGCGGACACTATGATTAGGTGCTATAAGAAGAAAATCGGCATTAATTTCAAAAATTACAATGAAGAAAACGTCGCTATAGGGCACTCGAAGATATTAGACGAGGCAGAAAAAGTATGACAAGCTGCTGAATATTATGGGGTTCTTAAATTCACCTTACATGACAAGAAAAAGGGAATAAAATTGAAGAATTATGGCGGATAGCCCGTTTGCATTTTTTTTTACCTAACATTTAAAATATTTTGCTATAAATATTTTTATTTTTTCTGTCCGACTGCACCCCGTACTAGGGGCTAAGACACTTTGTAATGCTTAATAAAAGGTGGTCCGCCTTTACCCCACACATAGGGGTGAAGGCGGACACAAAACTTACCTAAAAAAAAAAAGGGAGGGGATACAAATGTCATTACTTTTAGTACCTATGTAATTTGACAAAGGAGACATGAAAGATTCTTAATTAATTTTTTGGGATTTTTTTTCTTTAAATTGTAGATTTTATTAACAAAAAACTGCAAAAATCGTCCGACTTCACCCCAAATGACGGTACCCAAACAGCCTTATGAAAATGTACCCTTAAGAAGCTTAGTGTCCATAGGTCTAGGTTTGAGGCGTTGAATGGGGCTTCTACTGCATGACATTCACCTAAGATCTCAGTCGAACTGTACAAAGTCACACTCAACTTGGAGAGAAAGTCTTTTGGCCTGTACCCTCAAGGAGCTTAAGGCTGTGGAGACTAACCTCTCTCTGACTGCATTGCGGTGCGCGTAACTTATACAAGAATTATTGCTACCATCAGCAGTCAGTTAATTTTCTGTACGAGCACCAAATTTATTTCATTTTTATAGTCTGTGGGCCTGTAGACATGAGTTGACATCTATCCACTTTTGGTAAACGCCAAAGTCGCATACCACGAAGGTGTCCTTATTCAAGGCGACCTTCAAATCACGAGGGGTCCTTAATTTGAGGTGCGACTGAGAATACGGGCCTTAATCATCTCCTACATAAGTTAAGGTGTGGTGTAACAATAGATGTATTAACTTACTAACTAGTGGTGAAATCTTTCCTTTTCCCTCATAACTTCTTTTCAGGATAAACCCTTATCCGACGCAGCCAAGTGTAGTTAAAGTGGTGGGTCGCTGACCACAAAAAACCTAGTGTGACACATGGTCCTCCATACCATGTTTTCCATTTTTCTCCGGCCGCCTGAACAGTCTTAACTGACAGATCGACCGGACAATGATGTTAACTGTTCGCTTGAATTTTAAACTTATTCTATGATTTTAAATTATCAACAACGTCAAAATTACGTGGCACGTGGCCATTCACGTTAAACTACTAGTGGTGAAATCTTTCCTTTTCCCGCATAACCTCTTTTCAGGATAAACCCTTAGCCGACGCAGCCAAGTGTTGTTAAAGTAGTGATACCGCTGACCACAAACATATACCTACTAAAAAAATCCCTAATAGTTATTGAAATTTGAGCCTATAAATGTAGACACCATGTACACCAGTACAGCCGCAGAAATAAAATTATTAGCCTAATAAGTACCAAATTCGAGTAGACATAAAAAAATAAAAAAAAACTAATTGGACTGGTTGAAAAATAAACTTTGTAGAAGGGTGATCAGTCCTTAAGCATACGACACATTGTATATAGATGATTATAAAACTTTTCTTTTTTGTCATTGTGGGGATCTCAAGTTGGAACGAATGCACTGATTATACAGGCTCTTCATAAGCTTGATACAGAGCGTTACGAGTCCTCCACCCATCTCAGAAAGAAGTTCATCAAGATGATTGACGAGTTGGTTCTTCATAGCCAAGTCTGCCTGGTGGATTTGCGGCTCATTTATATTCTTCCCTTTTCATAAGAAGAATTGTAATGAGATGAACGTTCCTCTGTTTGGTAAACTGCTTTGATAAATAAACATGGTAAATTTTTTTTATAAATAATTTATTGTATCTCACTAAATTCCATAACAGCATCAAATTTCACTAGCTCATTCCCATTGCCAACTACTGGAATTTCAGCAGTTTGATAAACAAATTCAATATTTTCAACAGGAAATGCCATTACTGGTCCTCCAACCGTTTTTTTCAAATTTGGATGAAACCTAAAGAAAAAGTTAATAGATGAATGATAGTTATCGGGATTATAACACAAGTGCATCAAAGTTACCAATAATTCTGGATGGAAGCATGTTTCGTAAAAACTGTACGAGTTGATTTTCATGTTTTTTTGCGAAAAAACCCGACACTGAAGGTAGAGGATTTTTTTAAAAAAATATGAACATGAGCGAATGCAGTTTTCCAAGAAAACACGCTCCAACGCAAAATTATCTGGTTATTTTGAAACACGAATGCTATTTGGTGGAATATTTCCTTAAATTAGACTTGCCGGTAATTATGGGTACCTGCAGTGCAATTATCAAAGGTAATACCACAAGTGCTTAAAAAAGACCAAAAGAAAACACGCATGAGTGGTTAATTTTAAAGCTTGATTGGCATTTAGAAAAATTTTTCACGAATTCAAAAACATGACTTTACCAACAAACATGGATTTATCGTTTTGGTTTTATCAATTTTGTATATTTGCAGTACTTTTTTGATTTGACACTTCTCTAATGGGAAAATTTATATATGAGCGAAATATTCGCTGTAAGTTTTTGTTAATTGCATTCCTCTTATGGGATTTTTTATACACAGGCACAAGGGAAATATTCAGAGAAAAAATTCTCACCTATTGTAATGAGCATTTAAATGAGCCATAGTCCCAAAGCTCCTCCGACAAATTTCGCATACATGAGGATTATCAACTTGGGGCCTGTCTTTTTCATGCTGAAGCATGTGCTGAGTCAAACTGTAAGGCTGTCTACATGCATACATACACTGTGAACACTTAAAAGGCTTATCTCCCGAGTGAATTTGTAAATGACATTTCAAAGTGCTGAGATCCTTGAATGCCTTCTGACAGTCGTGGCATTTAAAAGGTCTATCATCTAGATGGCGTCTTTTGTGCTCCATAAGATGGCTACTTTGCACAAAACTTTTATCGCATTCGTCGCACCGATAAGGTTTTTCACCTGTATGTGTTCTCATGTGTAACTTCAGTTCAGCTGCCCTGCAGAATCTTTTTTCACACATTGGACATTGTTCTGATTTACCTGTATGTATTTTTGAGTGGGTTCGAAGACAGCTTGATTGAGAAAAAGCCTAGGAAAATACTAATAAGTATTGTTATGTGAAATTAATTAAATTTGTATACTTTGTAGCATATATTACAAATAAAAGGTTTCTCTTTTGTATGAGTTCGTTCATGAGCCACCAAAAAGTTTCTGGTTCTTAGTTTTTTATCACAATATCGACATTTATAAGGAGTTTCACCGGTATGGATTCTTACATGGGCGTTAAGTTTTGACATGGTTCTAAAAATGTTTAAATAAAAAAATGTTAAGTGAAATGGGAAATGCCTTACTCAAATTTTTTGCCACAATAATTACAAAGACCCTTTTGTTGTTTTTCTGCAGTATGGCGGGAATTTTTCAAGTGAAAAGATTTATTATGTTGTGGTAAACTTCTCACTTTTTTGTTGCATTTTTGACAGTAGTTAAGAGGCCTTAAAATTTTCATTAAAAAAACTGCAAAATTCAATTAGAAATAACCAAACTCACCCAGCTTCCTGTAGACCATTTTCCAATGTCACATTACCGTCGTTATTTTGAATATTTCTGCCACATTTTCCAACATGAACCCTAAGGCTTCTTGAGGACGCGAATAATTGATTACAAATTTGACACTGATGGTCTCTCGAACCTCTGTGACCAGCCATATGGTCCATAAAATGACTTAAACCTTTAATGGATTTATTACAAAATTGGCACATCAGGTCTTTACTATGAACTTCTTGAGAGTGTAAGGCTAAATTATCAAAAAGTTGGTTACAAGCATAGCACCATTGTTTTTTCTGGTCACTACAAAAAAAAAATAATTATTGTTCTAAGACAGATCTTCAAATAGTTTTATTGCTTTCTTTTGTATACTTACCTATGCGACTTAGTCATATGTACACTCAAACTTCTATTAGAACCAGCATTGAATGAACAGAAAATACAAGTAGTATGTTTATACAATTTGGTTTTGACATTTTGTATAGCTTTATTGATTTCATCCGAACTATACTGCTTCAGTCTTGATTTTCTAGCTTTGGCTTTTCTTGCAAATTGTTTGATGGCGTGCTTTCCTAAATGAACTTTAAGATTTGCTGCTGAGGTGCACTGCAAATTGCAAATTTCACATTTGTGCTCTCTAGAACTTGCATGACAGGCCATATGTTCCATAAAATGACTTATATTACCAAAAACCTTGTCACAAAATTCACATTTCAGGTCTTCTTTGTGTGTGTTTTTGTTATGTACGCTTAAATCGTCTACTAATTTGTTGCAACTATAGCACCAGTGGTTTTTCTGTTCACTGTGAGTTTTAACAACATGTATACTCAAGGTTTTATTAGATTTACCATTGAATGGACAAAAAATACAGGCAGTGTGTTTATATAATTTGTCTCGGACAGTATTTATGGCCCGAGTAACTTCTTCAGAATTATATTGGGCCAAAGTTAACTTTTGTAATTGAAGACTACTGCTATAAAGCTCATTGGTTAGTTTTTCTGACATTGAATCGTCTGAATCCTCATTGTCATTGAATTCTCCTTTAGTTTGGGTATTAAATTTCTTATTGTCATGGTTCTCAGGATGGAGAACAACTTCTTCATTTTTGATTTCAGTACGTTCTGTTTCCTGAATCAAATAAATGGTTAATTATTTAACAACTTATACATAATTATTGTATGGTCTTTCCCCATTTCTCAGGGAGCTTTAGAAAATTTACCTACAGTTTGAACAATCTCTTATAGACTATGAGATAGGGTACCATTGAGTGGCGTGATTTTTTTTTGTCTGGCATTTTGAGAGCTGAATGTATTTAGTTAGTTAGCTGATGAAAATAAGGATGGATTCAATGCCTGCTGTCTGTTCTAAAATTTAAATCAAATCAAATCAAAATTTGCTTTATTATTGAAGATATACAATCTTATTGACAAAGCCAAACTTAAATGTATAAACACAGGGGACAACTTGCAAGAGAAAAAACAACTTCCCACATTTCCTTTCTGTTTGGCAATCGGATGAGCGACCCCAAAAATTTCGAGGTGCTGAAATCCCAGAAAATATAACTAAACTCAATTTGTAAAAGCATTTTTGTAGTTATTTTAATTAGAAAAGTACCTACGTCAGTGGCAAGATAATTTAATCTCAACACATTAAATCTCTTAGCAATCTGGCATCTAATTCCGTATAAAAATAGTATAAATAGAAAATGAAGAAATTTCTAAACTCAACTCAAATTACATAACAATTTTTTTACCAACACAAGCGATAAGCGACCGGATGTCAGAGCTCGATGTCCCCAATTAATGACTTGACTTAATAATTAACTCTTGCGACATTCCGATAAAAAAGTCAATAAAATTAGGAGGCGTTTAACTGGAAATCACTATACTCATGCGATTTAATTGCGTCATAACTGATAAAGAATAACCACAACACCGGTATTTCCGCCGGATGTTGCATCATATCCTAAATAAAAACTTAAAAAAAAAACAATTCTTGGAAAAAAACAATGTCGTTTATCACTCGATAAACGAGGTCAAATAAGAGGATTGGTTCGAGAAATGCTAAATGACCGTCCACGTAACAGATTTTTGGTGGGAATTGAGTTCTATTTAAGCAGATTACAATCAGAAAAAAAGAGAAGATAACATCCAGCAGTGGATTTCATAGTGAGATTTCAGGAATCAAGAAAACTGGCAGCGAGTTGAGCATGAAACTATTTGCCAAAAAGTAAATTTATGCAAAAAATATTTGGACAGTTTAATCCATTTAAATTTATAGGTCGAGTGCTTGAATTGTTGGCGTCAATCCTATCCAAAAAGTTCTATTTATTATAAAATGACAGAATATTTCTATCAAAATTCTGTCAAAAAAGGTAAACAAAAATTTAATCGCTGATAAACAAGGTGATGTGAAATAATTACTTATTTAAACAAAATTCATTCAAAAATAGTATATTGTGTATTTAGGTGGAAAAGTGACACATTCTCGGCCGACGGTGTAAGTTGACGGGCGAGGCGTAGCCGAGGCCGGCAAACACCGAAAGCCGAGAATGTGCTTTTCCACCGAAATACACATACTATTTTTTCTGCCATCGGTTAGGTAAACATGTGTTAAATGCTTGGTCTTTTTGTTCCAATTATTCAACAGTACGAAAATCACTTTTCCGGCCTAGGCCGGAAAAGTGTTTCCCGTATTGTTATTCATTGATATACCTTAGCAACTATTGAAACATAATTAAAATACCAGAACATTGAGTTTTGCGACCTGTCAACCGGTTAAAAATGGTGACATTTCTTGTCAATCGCAGAAAAATGACGTTGTCTGATGGGTCTATTTGATAATGAATGAAATAATCAGTAAAATAGAATGAACTTAACTTGACTATTGCCAACAATTTGAAGTGAATTTATTAAGAGAAAATTGGAACTTGATTTTAGGTGAACTTTCTAAAGTCGCATTTTCCTCCACAGAATACGACCCAGTTGCGGCGACCAATTCGCCAGGGCATCAGCAATTCTTTCAAATTGTGACTATTTTCCTACGATCTTTCAGTCGCCGCTACCAACTCCATTCGCTGATAATCAAATACATACTGTAGTGTTTTACAGATTCAACAGAAAAACTAATCAACCATCCAAGGACCTTTTTTTTCAGTTACACATGTAAACCCCATACTTTGTGAGTGGATTGCTTACATCAAGTCCTACAACTTTTTCCTCTACGACTTTTCTCGGAAATGGCACGTATGCGCGCAGGCGACTCGCAAACATGTCGATCTGACGTATCTATGTTTCCTGATACATGTAAATCTAATTTTACGAATACTGTTTGATTTTTATGTCTAAATCACGGAAATCAACTTGGCCGACAAAAATAATGGCAAATTGGGGGAGTCCGACACCCCCAAAATGTCGATCTGACGAGGTTATGTTTCCTGATACATGTAACTCTCATTAAATTTTTTTTCGATCTTAAATTAGCTCTATATTATAAATAATTGTGTGTCCGACAAAAAAAATGGCAAAAATTTGCAAAAAATAATACATAATCGAAAAAATATTAACAGCAAAGATACATTTTATTGTAATCGGTAATTAATGTACTTTAACTACTTTAACTTATGAAAAATATTGAAAAGTTTACCTGATAATTTATACCTAAGCTACTTCATTCCATTTGAATTTAGTATTTACGCGGCCAAACGCTTGTTTAAAGCTAAGTCCTCATCATAGGCGTATCCAGGGGGGGCTGCCGGGCTGCAGCTCCCCCCAACACAAGTCTATACTATTTTTTTCCAGCGTATTTTATGTAACTTATGTACAATTTTTGTGAAAAAAAAAAACGAAAATAGAATTTATTTCTCTCGATAATGAGGTTTTCCTATGATTTCGGTGGCTTGTCTATTATAAACTCAAACGCACGCACTCACGTCCAAGTTCCCGCCGAGTTCGCGCTGGGAGATGGGCAATTTTTAGGTTCGCGCTGGGAGATGAGCAAGTTTTAGGTTCGCACTCGCATTGTAGCGCCTATCCAATGAAAACAAGTATCCTCTACAGTGGAATTCTGTAACGAATAGATATTTTCGCTTTCTCTACTGATGTCCCATCTCTATTGATTTTGAAAAGAGAGAAGAAGACAGCAAGTGCTATAGCGATGGAGATAAAGATCTCTATCTGTTACAGAATCCCGCCTCAGGTCCTTTGAACACACATGTGCAACAACCAACAACCAAATTTAATATTTCTCCTGTCTATTTACCTGGGCTACCTACCTATGGTAATTTGTTTTTATTTATATCCGTATTTACTTAATTTAAAGCCATTTTTATTTGATTTTGGTAGGTATTGGCACAGCTTGTATTGGTATGTGTTTCTAGCGTATAGTTCTCATTGTGGAAGATTTTGAGCAAATATGCGGGCCAATCAGATCCACAACGACGAACAAAAGTCAAAAACTTTATAAATACAGAACATAATATCACCTCTAGAAAAGTATCTGCAATGTTACGTACCGGTTATGAATTACAGCGCCATCGTTGACTGAAAACCCAACTAATCGAGCATTCTTGACAAAAAGGCGAATTGATTTTTTTCATATATTACTATTATTTTTAAATAATTTTTAATGTTCAACTGCATTTGGCTTGCTAACTCCTTTTAGCTCTTTTCGCCTCATTTTCTTGAAAACTATGACTGGCAGGAAGTTTCCAATGTCGAACATAGTGCAAAAAGAGTTAGTAAGTTAGCACGCGACACGCAGCTATAGGTAGATCGCAAAGTAAATACGAATGATAAATACAAATACGAACGAAACGAAACAAACGAGTAAATACAAAAAAATACGAACAAAAATTAGGGTTTTTTACAACGAAAACTTTTTGAATTTTCAATTTAACGCGCGTGGGGACCATGGTTTACAACAAAACAATTTAAAAATTCAAAGTTCGCAATTCGCGATTATGAGGACTTACCTTCCCAGCAAACACGAATTAACGGTAAAAAATCAGCCGAATGCCTTGAATCATGGGTAAGTGACGGCATCGGCAAAATGCAGTTGCCCTGCCCTATTTTCAATGTTAATTGTGCCTCATTCTTTCTTTTATAAAGTAATTTGAAAATTTAAATTAATTTTTTTTCTATTTTTGCTAGTCTTAACTTTATTTCCTGTAGGACTTGTCAGACAAGACTAATTTAGCATTCAGAAAACATTATTTGATCAAGACTTACCTTTGTCCGACATACATGTATCAGGAAACATATCCTCGTCAGATCGACATTTTAGGGGTATCGGACTCCCCCAATTTGCCATTATTTTTGTCGGCCAAGTTGATTTCAATCAAACAGTATTCGTAAAATTAGATTTACCTACATGTATCAGGAAACATAGCTACGTCAGATCGACATGTTTGCGAGTCGGCTGCGCGCATACGTGCCATTTCCGAGACAAGCCCTAGAGGAAAAAGTTGTAGGACTTGATGTAAGCAAGCCACTCACAAAGTATGGGGTTTACATGTATAACTGAAAAAAAAGGGCCTTGGATGGTTGACTAAACTGGATATTTTTATCCACAAATTTATGAAATCCTTCCAGTTTTCTTCTTTTAAACATAGGTAAAACGTCTTTCCTTTTTTTGCGGTTTTGAAGTAAACTGAGTTGTATAATCTCCTAATCTTGCTAATTAAGTAACAATGAAATTAACTTTTTTCTTCTAGATTTAGCCATTTTTTCAGCTAAAATTCATTGTGTCACTAACGCGGATGAAAACAGAAAATTATTGGCGAATTGGTCGCCGCTAACAACCGACCGTGGAGGAAAACGCGGCTTAAGGAACTTTACTGAAGGCGATTTTCATGCATCCGTTTGTCCGACGAAATATGTCCGAAAAATCTTCTATTTTGACATATTTTTATACGATTATGTCAGAATAGAATGTTTTTCAGACATATTTCGTCGGACAAACGGATGCATGAAAATCCACCCTTAATTGTTTTTGAATGAAATGACATTTTTATATTGATTTAGGGTCAAATTTATAGTCATTCCTTGAAGGCGTCCTCAAGGCTCCCTTACTGAAGGCTGCCTTAAGGAGTCCTCAGCTTCTTCGTTTTATAGTCGCTCCCTTCACTG